CCCCCCCCCCCCCCCCCCCCCCCCCCCCTCCGGAGGTGACAGTATCTGAGCTATGACACATTGACTCCTCACATCAACCTGCTGCATTCACACACTTTCACTTCCACCATCAATATCTTTATGTATTTTATCTATCAGAGAGATTAAATTAGTCAATATATAATCAATATATAGTTAATATATAATTAATATATCATCAATATATCATCAATATATCATCAGTATATCATCAATATATCATCAATATATCATCAGTATATCATTAGTATATCATCAATATATCATCAGTATATCATCAGTATATAATCAATATATAATCAGTATATAATCAGCATATCATCAATATATCATCAGTATATCATCARTATATCATCAATATATCATCAGTATATAATCAGTATATAATCAGTATATCATCAATATATCATCAGTATATCATCAGTATATCATCAATACATCATCAATACATCATCAATATATCATCAGTATATCATTAGTATATCATCAGTATATCATCAATATATCATCAATATATCATCAGTATATCATCAATATATCATCAATATATCATCAGTATATCATCAATATATCATCAATATATCATCAATATATCATCAGTATATCATCAATATATCATCAGTATATCATCAATATATCATCAATATATCATCAGTATATCATCAATATATCATCAGTATATCATCAGTATATCATCAGTATATCATCAATATATCATCAGTATATCATCAATATATCATCAGTATATCATCAGTATATCATCAATATATCATCAGTATATCATCAATATATCATCAATATATCATCAGTATATCATCAATATATCATCAATATATCATCGATATATCATCAGTATATCATCAGTATATCATCAATAAATCAGTATATCATCAGTATATCATCAGTATATCATCAATATATCATCAGTATATCATCAATATATCATCAGTATATCATCAATATATCATCAGTATATCATCAATATATCATCAGTATATCATCAGTATATCATCAGTATATCATCAGTATATCATCAATATATCATCAGTATATCATCAATGAGGTTTTATGGCTTCTTTAGGTGGTTTTAGTGGTTATCAAGGAGGTTTTATGGCTCCTGTAGGTGGTTTTAATGGTCATCAAGGAGGTTCTAGAAGTTCTGTAGGTTGTTCTAGTAATCATCAAGGAGATCATAGGAGGTCCTTGAGGGGGTTCTGTCAGCCCTTAGGACGTTCTAGTGGTTGTAGCGGTCTTTGTTTTGGTGGTTGAACACATACTCGACATTTTGGAGAGATGTATTCTTCCCACGTCTTCAAAATACAGTAAAAAGGAACATCTTTTTAAAGAACATGGATTTTGGTACAACACTTTGAGATTCTGATGAACAGTGCTGGGATCTTCCTCTTAAACCTACTTTGTACTTTACAGTGTCTACATGTTTTTCAATGAAGTGTTCTGACAAAAGGAATGTCTTATGAATTTCTGAAGTGTTTCTGTTGTTTCCCAGCATGCCTCTGTCTCTCCACTCTCACCTGAAGACAAATAAAAAGCTGCACCTTGTTCAGGTGAAGACGAGTCTCAGCCTGCCGATATGAGTCGCGTCTACTGATCTGAAGTCAGATCTGATTCACTTACAGAAGCCTTTTTACAAACACACACACCGTCTGATGCCGACACACTTGGCCTGCTGGAAGCTGATATCAGACCGAACAGATCTGTGGGGATCATCAGATAGAGGAAGACGGTCCCAAAAACAGCAGAGCATTCTGGGTAAACAACAGCTTGTTTTGACTCAGACTTCTTTTAGTTGAATGGGTATTTTTCTAATGGTCATCAAGGAGGTTACAGGGGTTCTGTAGGTGGTTCTAGTTCTAGTTTTCTAGTGACTCAGACTTGTTTTAGTTCCCTGGGTATTTTGACTCAGACTTGTTTTAGTTCCCTGAGTGTTTTGACTCAGACTTTACATTACAGTCAATTAGCAGACACTTTTATCCAAAGCGACTTACAATTCAGAGTCTATCACATTTCTACACCGTAGGCACAACTACGGGAGCAATTTTGGGGTTAAGTGTCTTGCTCAAGGACACATCGACATGCGACTAGCAGAGCCGGGGATTGAACCGCCGACCCTCTGATTGAAAGACGGCCCTGCTATCCACAGTTGCTCCTAGACTTGTTTTAGTTCCCTGAGTGTTTTGACTCAGACTTGTTTTAGTTCCCTGGGTGTTTTGACTCAGACTTGTTTTAGTTCCCTGGGTGTTTTGACTCAGACCTGTTTTTGTTCCCTGGGTGTTTTGACTCAGACTTGTTTTAGTTCCCTGGGTGTTTTGACTCAGACTTGTTTTAGTTCCCTGGGTGTTTTGACTCAGAACTGTTTTAGTTCCCTCAGTGTTTTGACTCAGACTTGTTTTAGTTCCCTGGGTGTTTTGACGCAGACCTGTTTTAGTTCCCTCGGTATTTTGACTCAGACCTGTTTTAGTTCCCTGGGTGTTTTGACTCAGACTTGTTTTATTTCCCTGGGTGTTTTGACTCAGACCTGTTTTAGTTCCATTGGTGTTTTGACTCAGACTTTACATTACATTATAGTCATTTAGCAGACACTTTTATCCAAAGCAACTTACAATTCAGAGTCTATCACATTTCTACACCGTAGGCACAACTACGTGAGCAATTTTGGGGTTAAGTGTCTTGCTCAAGGACACATCGACATGCGACTAGCAGAGCCGGAGCCGGGGATTAAACCGCCGACCCTCTGATTGAAAGACGGCCCTGCTATCCACTTAGCCACAGTCGCCCCTAGACTTGTTTTAGTTCCCTTGGTGTTTTGACGCAGACCTGTTTTAGTTCCCTCGGTATTTTGACTCAGACTTATTTTAGTTCCCTGGGTATTTTGACTCAGACCTGTTTTAGTTCCCTGGGTGTTTTGACTCAGACTTGTTTTAGTTCCCTGGGTGTTTTGACTCAGACCTCTTTTAGTTCCCTGAGTGTTTTGACTCAAACTTGTTTTAGTTTCCTGGGTGTTTTGACTCAGACTTTTTTTAGTTCCCTGGGTGTTTTGACTCAGACTTGTTTTAGTTCCCTGGGTGTTTTGACTCAGACTTGTTTTAGTTTCCTGGGTGTTTTTGACTCAGACCTGTTTTAGTTCCCTGAGTGTTTTTAGTTTTTACTCTTGTTTCTGTCCCGAGAATATTTTGTCTCAGACTCGTTTGGTCTTGTTCACGGTTCTTTGTCCTCTTCTTTGACTCCTCAGCCAGCAGTTTTAAATACAAACATAGACTGTAACACTGTGTTCCAGTATTTTGTTCGTGATATATTTCTCTTAAATAGTTTTTGTGTAAAGGATGTATAATAGTTCACGATGAGGAACATTGTATTTTTCTAGATTCTCTGGTTTCAGACCTGCAGCTGTCTTCACAACATCACACATCTTTTACTTTAAGTGTGAAAGTCTAATCAACACTTATTAACAGTGTGTCCTCAGTGTTTCTGTCACTGTGGTCAGATTTAATTTAACACCACAGTTATCTGACAAACAGCACACACACTCCAGTAAATGTGTGTGTGTGTGTGTGTGTGTGTGTGTGTGTGTGTGTGTGTGTGTGTGAGTGTGTGCGTGTCAGGGTCAGACCCTGCAGGGAGGGAGTGTGTTAAATGAAGAGGGAGGACGGGTGGAGGACGGGTCTCCTGGTCGTCCGTCTGCAGCTTCAAACTGTCTTTACAATAAGCAGTAGAGGAACAGAGAGTGTGTGTGTGTGTGTGTGTGGGTGTGTGTGTGTGTGAGTGTGTGTTGAAGGGCAGCAGAGAGCAAACACTCTGAATATTAAAGAGCTTTGTGACATTAAAGCAGCAGGAATCTGTCAGATGAAGGTAAGAACTACACTTCTTTTTTGTTCTCACTCTTTACAGTCAGGAGAATGTAAGAATGTAAGAATGTTAGATCAGCTTCAGTTTATCCATAACACACACACACACACACACACACTTTGAGCCGTTTAAATGGACGATAGCAACGATGATGTCATTTGTTTGTTTCCATAGATTTGTATCTTTTTATGTATTGTGTTTGTTTGTTTGTTTGACCTGAAATAAGTGTTTGTAGTCATTCTAACCTACGAGATTGTTGTCATGTCGTCTTCTGAGGTGTTGATGCTGTGTATAAGCTCCTTAAGATATGATGGTGCTCTCTAGTAGGGTAATATGGTACTATAAGCTCCTTAAGATATGATGGTGCTCTCTAGTAGGGTAATATGGTACTATAAGCTCATTAAGATATGATGGTCCTCTCTAGTAGGTTAATATGGTACTATAAGCTCCTTAAGATATGATGGTTTCGACCAATTAGGGCTTTGTAGGTGAGGAGAAGGATTTTAAATTCTATTCTATATTTTACAGGGAGCCAGTGCAGAGAAGCTAATACAGCAGTAATATGATCTCTTCTCTTAGTTCTTGTTCGTACACGAGCTGCAGCATTCTGGATCAACTGGAGAGATTTAAGAGATTTATTAGAGCAGCCTGATAATAAGGAATCACAGTAATCTAGTCTAGAAGTAACAAATGCATGAACAAATTTTTCTGCATCTCTTTGAGACAGGATGTGCCTGATTCATTAAATGTTACGTAGGTGAAAAAAGGCAGTCCTTGAAGTTTGTTTTATCTGAGAGGTCAAGGACAAATCCTGATCAAAGATAACTCAGAGATTCAGCAGCAGCACATTAAACTTAGTCCATGTGTGGACCCCGAGAAGTACACTATGTACCTCTGAGATGTAGTACAGTATAAAGTACAATATGTACCTCTGAGTTGTAGTACAGTAAAAAGTACAATATGTATCTCTGAGATGTAGTACAGTATAAAGTACAATATGTACCTCTGAGTTGTAGTACAGTAAAAAGTACAATATGTATCTCTGAGATGTAGTACAGTATAAAGTACTATATGTACCTCTGAGTTGTAGTACAGTAAAAAGTACAATATGTACCTCTGAGATGTAGTACAGTATAAAGCACAATATGTACCTCTGAAATGTGGTACAGTATAAAGTACTACATGTACCTCTGAGATGTAGTACAGTATAAAGTACTACATGTACCTCTGAGATGTAGTACAGTATAAAGCACAACATGTACCTCTGAGATGTAGTACAGTATAAAGTACTATATGTTCCTCTGAGATGTAGTACAGTATAAAGTACTATATGTACCTCACAGGCATGTCAGTTCCTGTCTGGTGTTCTCGACTGTAATCTCTGGAAAAATGATCCTGCTCGTTATCTCCTGCCGCCTGCCAGTCGAGTGTGTGGGCAGAGCGCCCTCAGGTCTGTCGCTACAGCAACAGGCTGAACAGACTGAAGCTTGAAGAGGAAGAAGAGGAAGAAGCAGGCAGGAACAGGAAGCTGGAGGAGCATCACATGATTTAAAGTCCAGGACCAGGTGTGGGTCACATCCACTGGTTCTCAGAGACAAGTCCAGCATGTGGTGAGGTTAGCTTAGCACAAAGACTGAAAGCAGGTGGAAACCAGTGGCGGGCCGTGTGTTTCATACCTGGGCCTTCAGTGCTGTCCTGCAGCTGAACCAGCTCCTAATAACCTCATTGTGACGCCACAACTATGGTTATGTGTTTCTATGGTGTAACATCACGTATTCGTATTAAACCGTTCGGTACGAGGCTTATGAACCGAACAATACGTTTGAATAATACTAGTGCATTTGGAAAATGCAGAAGCTTAAATTGTGGGAAACATCATGTTTTGGTTGGACTGCGCTCACGTAGGAGACAACGGGCTGTGACCTCTGAACCTGGAACAATAACAAAAAACAGCTGAGGCCCCGCACTTCTGGGAGGCTAAGCTAGTTTAACAAACAATAACCCCGCGCATGACGGGATGCTTTGTAATTAACGGACAATGCATACAGTCTAAATCTATATAATTAACACAATGACAAGAACCAGTCACATATATTCATACGACAACAGAGCAACACATCCATCCAGCAGATCTGTAGCAACACGCATTCTGCTGCACACTGGAGGGCCATTCACATATTAGATGTAAATAAACAAACGCAGTTGACTTAAAGACAAACTCCATCCTCCTTTCTTTGTTGACTAAGAGTTTAATCCGGTTAAATCCCAACTCACAAAACTAATAAATAATCTACACCAAGCAAAACACTAAGAATGTTATAATTTCTTCCATATCTTTCAATTTGAACTCTTACTCCTCCGACTAAGCCTCTGCTTAAGTGTCGTTTTCCAATAGTCACGTGCTCGCCCACTGACCAATCACAGCGCACGCTGCACCTCACTGCAGAGCTGCACATGGACACTGAGCTGCACGTAATGCTGACGTACTTGTAGGCCAGCTAGCAGGCTCTGACACGTCAAAGAATACACCCAACATGTCAAACTAAAGATCTGATTGGTTGAACACTATGACAATCAATAATATCGTCCCCATTCACTTAAACTGCACATGGATGCACTTGTGAGTCTGCAGGCCTCTGCCTCTGTTCTTACCTAGAGACACAGGTGAGATCTGATTGGATAAAAGCTCTACTTAAAACAAGCTGCACTGGAAGCAGAGCAACTGAGGAAGACAGTAGCTGTGCAATGAGAACATAAGATAATGGGGAAAATAATTAGAATACATGTAGTGTATTTCTGAAAAAATATTAAATTATAAAATAGATATAACTTTGTGATTCTGTTTAGGCCAGCAGAGAAGGCCTTGCTGGCCCTGACGGCCCACCACTGGTGGAAACTGTTAGCCTAGCTCCATCTAAAGAGAGCGTACCTGCTCAGGTACTCTGTTCTCTACATGTTCAGGTACTCTGTTCACTACCTGCTCAGGTACTCTGTTCTCTACATGTTCAGGTACTCTGTTCACTACCTGTTCAGGTACTCTGTTATCTACCTGTTCAGGTACTCTGTACACTACCTGTTCAGGTACTTTGTATGCTCAGTCCTCACGGGTTTGATGCTCAGTCCTCACGGGTTTGATGCTCAGTCCTCACGGGTTTGATACTCAGTCCTCACGGGTTTGATGCGCTGCTGCCCGCCGGTTAACAACAACAAACGGTCTTTGCAAACTGAAATGATGCCAATGGCCGTGAGACCTGATCACTCTGATCTGAAGTCAGATTTGTCTGACGTCCTCAGATCAGTTTCTGGTCTGTGATGTCAGGAGGTATAATGTGTGAACAGCTGATATGGGAGCAGTAGCAGGTCTGATTTATGTGTCTCACACCTGGTTCAGGCCTTTGATCTGGACGATGACAGCTTGAGACGTCTCACCTTTCAGGAGCCTCAGTGAGTTCACCCGACGCTGACAAACTTACTCCAGGTCAGCCTCCACCAATGCGTCTGTCTCTTCTGTCACAGGTGGTCTTCGTCCTCCGGGTCTCCAAAATGTCCAACATGTCCTCAGTGAGATCTTCAGGCTTTCTGCTGAGCTGCTGTGTCCTGATTTTCCTCATCGTCCCGCCCTGCAGAGTTCAAGGTACGGTCAAGTCCTTAGTATTGTTCTTTTAGAGCAGATCCTCACTCGGTGTCCTATTGTTGTCCAGCTGTCAGATTAAACCCTTCTCAGATAACACTTAGCCCCCCTCAGCTGTTGGTGGTCTGAGGTCTGGTCTCCTGTCAGGAGACCGTGAGATGTGTTTGAAAAAAAGCCAGTAAGTGGCCCTTGAGTTTAGATTTAATTAGTTTTCACCTGATGAACCAGATGTTATACTGATGTTCTCCTTCAATAATACAACTCCCCCACAGAATCCTGTTGAACTAATGAGTTTGATTATTGATCAGTAAATATTGATAGAAGTTCAGCTGATGCTTTTATTGTGAAACTCTTGAAACAGGAAGTTGTTCATGTTTAAATCTAAGCTTCCAGCTGATTTCTTCTCTTCTTCTTCTTGTTTTTCTTCTCTGCAGGAAGTGACTGCAGCTGTAACGTCACCAACAGCCGCTGTGACGAGTCCGGAGTCTGCAGGTGAGACCATCGATCCTCCTCTGATCAATACCCCGCCCTAAAGCATACCCTGCTTTATGGTCTACCAGAGACCTGTC